CTAATAATTCTACTTCAAGGGATTTTCCTATAAGTGTATATGCACAAGTTAATTAACTCTGCTTGCCAAATTTAAGCAGCATTTTCTCACTGCAGAGAAGGGGAACTGTCCACTGCTGGACATTCTCCTGTCCTATGTTTACGGAGATGCCCTCGGAAAGTCCATGAAAGCACCATAGAGAGGAAGGCTGAAGTGGAATGGAGGAAAACAATCACTGAAGATGAAGTAAGAAAAGAACTGAGAGGTCAAGAGAACTAAAAGGACCATTTATATAAATAGTAAAATCTTAGAAAAAAAATCCAGCTTCTTTTCCTCTTGTCCCATTCTTTCTGACCCAAGCCAATCAGGCTTTTAAACTAACCATTCAAAAAAAAGCCAACTGACCAAACAAAAAAAACAACTGATTGTCAAGATCACCAATGATCACTAACTGGCCAAATCCAACAGTTAACTCCCCATTCTTAGCAAAACCAGTCTTCAGCCACAAACCGAAAGCTTCTTCATGTGGTTCCCAGGACCCACACCACACTCCCGGTTCTCTTCCCACCTCCGCACTGCTCTCCTCCGTCTTCGGTGCTGGATCTTCTCCTCTTTGTCCTGACTATCCATCCACCTGTACGGTGAAATCCCTGGGGCGCAGTCCTCAGACTACTCTTTTATACCTACATCCAGTTTCTACATGCCATCCAGTCCCACGGCTCTAACAGCTTTGGAGAGGATGATGACTCCAAAAGTGACATAGTCTAGGCCCGTCTTACCACCTAACCTGATTATTATAACCAATGCCTATGGAACATGTGGTATCTCAACTTTTACACTTTCAAACACAGTGTCTTGACTTCCCGCCCCAACCTGCTCCTCCAGCAGTATTAACAGAAGACAACTCCAATTTGTTCACGGTAAAAACCCCGGTCCTCACGTGTGTAACACCCAATCCATCAAAATTCCTCTCAGCTTTACCTTCCAAATAAACCCATGGTCTGACTCCTTCTTGACACCTTCAACACTAGTCCACTTCCCTTTCCTCTTACATGAACTCAAATGCTTGCACACTAGCATCTCTGCCTTCCTCATCACCCTCAAAATGTATTCTCTCTTTAGAAGGATCCTTTGAAATAGAAATTAGACCATGTCATTCCTCTCCTCTAATTCTCCAATAACCTCTTGTCTCAGACTAAAACCCAGTAATATCCTTAGCATGGCCTACAGGCCCGTCACCTGCCATCCCCTCCTAAGCCTGCTGACCTGACTCCCACCCTCTCCCACCTGCTCATTAAGCTTCTCACTGGAGCACCTCGATATGTCTCAAATGCATCTCTGGGCCACTGCACTTCCTGTTCTCAGTACTCAGAAGCTTCTTGGATAGCCAGATGATTGCAACACATTTCAATTGTTTTTTTTTTTCAAATGTCACCTTCTCAGAAGCATTTTCTAATCATCCCATATAAAATAGTATTTCCATGATTCTCTACCTCCTTTATTTACCCTGCTTTATTTTCCTTCACATCTCCTTATCACAACCTAATAGAGTTCCCATTTATTTTTGCTTATTTTCAGTGATCTAAACCCCACCCCACACCCAACCAGAGGTTACGCTCCACAATGGCGGTACTCTGTTGGTCAGCTTTATTTCCGTTCTCTGTGTCTTTAACAGCTGACACTATATAAGTGTGCAATAAACATTTGCTGAAAGAATTACAAAGGTCCAGATGTGAGAAGAAGGCTGAGAAAACGTTGTATCAAAAAATTCAAATAAATACGGAAAGATTCCATCTGTGGGTAATGTGTGTATACGTGTATGTGCTTTAAGTAGGGAGACAGTGGAAGATGAAGCTTGAAAGGTAAGCTACGGCAAATGATAAAAGAACTTGTAAGGCCATGTTAAGGAATTCTGTCTTCTTTCCTCAGAGCAAGAGGAAACCACTACAAAGTTTTTAAGGAGAAAAAGGTACGAATAGACTGTAATGTAAAGATGGGTTTGAGGATCCAAGACTACATGGAGGGACACCAATTGTGGGGTTCTGAGATAACTGGCTTGAATCAGGTAAAGAAAATGGGCTTAAGAGAAAGTGAGCTAATTTGAGAGATGTAAAAAATAAACTTGACTGAATCTTAACAGTGGCAACAGCTGGAAATGCCAAACTGTATTAATAGAATATTGAAGAGACAGAAAAGGCACAACTGAAAATTCCAAATCCAAAAGTCCTGTAAATTTCTGTTAACTCAATGTCAAATAGGCATCTGCAACGGAAATGGTCTGCAGAACAAAATTCAAAGCATCATTATTCTCAAGATAAACTTTGAGACATGAAAAAACCACAGAAAAGTTTCAAAGCGTTTTCATGAAACACAAGGATAAATTACAAAGATCTACTGGCAGCTCACTGGAAGGGCAGTCTGAGGTCAGACAAAATATAAATGCTGATTCTGATAAGAAATACGTTCTCTTTCCTGCAGAGATTCTGACACCCCTCATAAGTCAAATCTCAATGAGTTAGGACGATGTTTCTTCTCTGCAACTTTCAATTCAATATGAGGGCCTCTTATATAATACATTTCAAAATAAAGTGCTGGTCTCTATATCATTCCCACTATACCTTTTACATAAACAGCATGAAAAACATCAGAATTAGCCAAATCATTTATATGCGAATTATTTTTATAAGATGAAGATTGGTCAATATTTTCAATCCAAAAGTATATTTTCTTAAATATTTAAGGAATGATAAACTAATAAGCCTATACTGGACTTTTTTAAGGGCCAATCCCAGTGAACTTGGGAAGAAACTACTCTTGAATATAAGCAGCATTTGGTAAGAAGAACATATGAACCTATACAACTGTATAACATACATTACTTACACAATGACAAAAAGCTGAACCAAACTTGAATGGAACAATTATGTGACAGGCATTCTGCTACATATTCTCCAGGTAGCATCTCATTTCACTTTAACTACATGGAAATGTAATGATATTCCAATCTTATAGATAAGGAAATGGAGACAGTAAAAAGCCGCAAAGATGGGATTCAAACCCACAAGTCAGCTCTCAAATACTCAGTATTCTGTCTCCCAATAAACTATTTAAATCCAAAATCACGTGAGACTTCAGGATTGTAAAGCTTCTGTTTTATTTAAACCTTTTTTATCCTGGTATCATCATCAGAAATGTATAATAATGTTCAGTTTAATTAAAATTAATGCCCTAATAAAGCATCCATGTTACAACAAACATATTTAATGAAATGGATAGATAGGAATAAGAAATTATTACAAGGTTAAATCACTTTATAGAACCCACCCCTTAAAGTATTTTTATTCTACAATTTGTAATTCTAAGAAAGTTTTATTACCTCAGGCTAGTAATTAATAACAATCCTAAAATACTCCCATAGGAGACTGATCTATCCTCAAAAGTCTTATTTTCCTTTAATATAAATTGTAAAACTTTTTTTAAAAGCTTCTGTCACTTTTTAATGTATTGCCACCTTTTGATATTCAAAGACAAATCATTTTAAAACCAAAATGTCCCTCAGAGGACCTCTGTTCCAACTTTCATTTTGTAAATGAGGAAACAGACACAGAGAAGTTGACTCACTTTCTGAAAAACACACAGCTAGTTAATAACACAGATTTCTAATTCAATGCTCTCACAGGTTAGTAATTTTTAGAACTAAAGCAGTTTACAGAATGATTAGAATAATGTAATAGGTCAATAAGAGTTCTAATTATTAAACACTGGTCTACTTAATATATTAGGCGAACTCATGTTTAGTTATATTATATGAGCTGAATATCGTCAGTTATACATGGCAATACAAGTCTTAATGTTAAGTAAAGTTTTGTGATCATGGGACTAATACCCCAACATGCTTAGAAAAAAAAAAAAACCCTTTTCTATATTGCACAATTATTAAGGAAAAGGAGGAAGGTTATATGGTTTAATAGTGTACAATTATAGATTTTAGCTTATATTTAACCTGCTTAATTATATTCCTTATAAGACCTATAGAATAGAATTTACATGAAATTCTTTTCTTCCAAGGAGTTAATTTTAACAAGTAAATGGAAAATGTTTATGAGTAAGTTTATTCTATAAGTTTATTTATACAATAAATAGACTAACTGGGGAATAAAGAACAGCAGATATTCTACTCATTTATGTAAATGTCAATAAATTTCTGTTGTACATACTAACAATATTCCTAGATTTTTTCAATAGCAAATTAGGGCCTACATTTTCATATATTTTCCTAATGTAAAAAAATTTTAATAATGTCTTAGAAAACCAATTTTTTTTTCCATTAAAAACTATTCCTGTAGTTCAATCATCATTTCTGAAGTTATTTCCGGTTTCTGTAACAATGAGAAAAAGTCAAAAAGGAAGAGGGGAGTATACTGGGATAGATGGAGCAAGACAGAATGAAGGGAGGGAAGATGAGAGCACAAAGATGCCTGGTATATTAGTGAAAGTTAGCTCTTATTTTTCTGAAAGACAATTTTATTGTTATTATGGAAAAATTTCACTATAGGACATTCATCTTACTATGGGAGATAATGATATGATAGGAATGTACTTGGAGCCCAGAAGCAACTCAAATAATGTGTTCCTACACACACAGCTTGTGTACACTCATTATCTGCTTACAATGAAAAATTGTTCTACTAAAAAAGCTTCCATCACCCTATTTATGATGTATCCACATTCTTCTCCTGTAATACAGTGATGCGATGGTAATGATACTTTTGAAAAGTAGGCCACCAATTGAATTTGCCCCCCTCACAACACTTTCCTTCACAAATTATAAACAGGCTTTCCCATTTAAGGATTTGAATGTCTATGTCTATTATATTAATGGAGTCATAAATTGTTCTGTATTTTCTACTTAAATAAAATTTCTAACAACATTTTTTATTACAATAATCCTACAACAATTTAAAATTAAACTGAAAAAAGGGGTTTGGACCCAAATCTAAGATATGAAAATCATTACTTACTGCAGGTACCAGTAATTTCTTCACTTCCTCAACAGCTCTCTTCAGTTTGATCTCTGCTCTGTTTTGAGCGTCTTCCACAGTGATCAGTACATGTAAATCTTCGTTGAGATGCTCCCAATTGGGCTTGCCTCTATTTTGCTCCTCCTAAAAAATTTACAGAGTACACGATTACATTTTTTTCCTTTTCAAAAGAGTGTATTTTTCATAATACTTACCTGTTGCCATTTAAACTATGCTTGAATTATTCTTCTACAATGACATTATAAATCTTTTTAATTATTTTTCTGGCAAAAAACCTGTGTGTGAGCCTAATGGGTCCAATGATAGTTAATTGAACAAATACTTGTTGAACACGTGCTAAATACCAAGCATGGAGCCAGGTACGAAAGATACAGCAGTAGCAAGGCAATCACAACCCCTGTCGTGATCTTATGTCATAGAAACTCATTTATGGTGTCATCCTTAGGTTACCATGAAAAGCATGTTGTTATTTCTGTATTTGCTTATGAGTAAGTGGGAGGTCATCGGGGTTAATATAAGTCAGTCACTTGTCAAGATCACAGAGCTAAAAACAAGCCAATTTAGGAGTTGAATCAAAGCTTTCACTCTCAAATTCAGCGATCTTTCCATTTCATTACCACTATTTTTAACAACACTGGCTGAATTCAAGATTAGGAATAGTATTTTGCAAATAAACATTATTATATAAGAGAAATGCCGTTTGTTTTCAGTATTTCTAGTATTTATGGAAACATTTTGTCATAATCACAATAAAAAATAAATGAACAGTTTTAACTACATTTCCATCACTAGCTTACTTTAAAAACAGTGAACTGTAAGGTCACTCCTTAATTACATCAACCCACAACTACTAGTTCAACAGAGAATATCTATGTTTCACTTCCTCAATATCTTCCAATCACCTTGTGGGGATAGCTCCAGATTAGAAATACTGTCAAGCGACAAAGAGATTTAGAAGTAAAGTTGGCCACATTTCCCTTCCACCTAAGATATAATAATTTCATAATTGCTTCTTGTATTAAGTTTTAGAGATAACATATATTTACAAATAATTTATAATATATAACATAACTTTAAAAAATATTAAACAAAATAAGACTATAAACTTATAAATGTGTGTGTGTGTATGGCTCAGTTCCAAATACCACACAGAAACAATAATAATACCTATTGTTGTTGAACTTCCACCTTAAAGGTCACTATTTACTAAATTGTGAACTTTCAACCAAAGAAAAGTGGTATAAATGAATAAAACTGGTATGGTAAAACAGCCTTCTACTACAACTCATGTTTGCAAAGGCCATGCTAGGAAAAAAAATCTATGGAGCTTAGCCAATCAGAATAGAAACAAGTTCTAACAGTCAAATAGACACTTTTTCCTTTATTTTCTGTTCATATCATTACTATGAAAATGTACCCAAATGTTGTGAGGGGAGATGAGAAACTAGATGAAGCACACCAGCCCATAGCCGGTCATCTAGTGTTCTCAGAGTCACCACAGGGCACTCACAGGCGTACCATAGGGGTACATGAGATTTCAAGGGCAACAGCAATAGTCAATGTCTCGACACCGTGCAAACTTCTATTTCCAAATACTTGACTTTTTCAATATTAAGTCATGCTACATTCCTTCTGATGATGTCATATCTTTGCAACACTATGTTTTCAGTGGTTGCTATAATAAGAAGGAAGTCGATGCAAAAATCAAACTGGAACAGGAAATGAGGGTGGCAGCGTCCTACCTCAGAATGTGAACAATGCCCAAAAGAAACACGCATCCATTAATAAATAATGTGGTTATTTATGAGTAAATTTTTTTTTTCAATTTAAGTTGCTTTGATATAAATACTAAGTTGTTTGGAAGTGACTATATAATAAGAAATATGATTAAATATTTCTTTTCACCTAGGGAATACCATGACAAAAGTCCCAGAAACTAAGGAGTCAATGAGTCAAAAAAACTGGGAACCTTTCGGGTTATCTGTATGTCAAAGAACAGAAAATGTGTATACATACCTCTACTGTGGAAAAAAATCAATTTGTAAATCCAGATTTTAATTTTATGTTGAAATATGCTGACAATATTTTCTCACCAGAATTTCTCTTTATGTATCAATTTTGGGGGGTAGATACATCTAATAAAGTTACTGTATTATTTGATGAACCTAACTAAAAGTGTGTCTATATCCCTATGATAAGATAATTCTGCTTCCAGCCAAGTAACATGAGCAAGGTTTACTCTCCTGCCTGAAATCACCAAAAAATAGGTACAACATAAAAAACAACAGTTCTCAAGGCCGTGGACCTCAGGTGATAAGGACAGTGAGGCTGCGACGGGAAATTGGTGAGGTAAGCCCCACGATTGCCCCAGCTCCCTGGCAAGGGTGCCAGGCTGACTCCCTGGGCAGAGGAGACTGAGCTGAGAATCCAGGGAGACCAAAGCAGTCAGAGGGCATAGGATAGGGTCCTGGAAAAAGCCTCACAGAAAGACAACTCTGGGGACCTGCACAAGGCCCCCCAGCACTCAGCTCAACACTGATGAGGCATGTGTGGGAGGAAACAGCCGAGGACCCAGAAGGAGCCTGCCAAAGGAGACAGAAGTGCCGGGTTCTCACACAGGGCCAGGCTGAAAGGCTTCACGATTCACAGACAGACACTGCATAAAGAACACAGACGGCACTGCCTCAATAATGGGAAATCACTAAACCACAGCTGAGCATCGGTCCAATACTGCCTAATAAATCCTGAAAGCAAGACCTAAAAGGATCAAACTATTTCCAAGTAACTACACTGTCCCAGAACAAAGATGAAGAATACTTACAGAAATACAAATAACCACCCCACAAAGTAAACTCCTCTCTATCTGGCACCTACTCAGAGATTAACAGGCATGCAAAGAAGCAGACGTATATAACATATATGAGAAAAAAATCAATTGAAACCACTCTAGAGCTGATAGGCAAAGACACTAAGAGTGTCTGTTGTAAAAGAAAGATACCAGTGCAGACATATTAAAACAAGCAGTGAGGAACATTTATAATTCAAAATATTTTCAGAAAGGCCTAAGAATAAAAGCTAAAATTACAACTGACTTAACACAGAAGCTTTTATACATGGGAAAGGCAGATGCCAGGGGAAGGGTACTATTTACATGACAGGAACATAGAACAAAGCTGCAGTGTAATCTGACATTGTGCTTTACTGAGGGAATACATCTCTGAGTTATAAAGCACCTTGGTAACACAGACTTAATTGAACAACTCAAGTGCCATTACAAATACAAAAATAAAAGCAGTTACACGTACCCTAAACGTTTGCTTCAAGATAAAGCTTTGCTTACAGTTTTAAAAATTGTTGCAAGAAAATTTATAGACAAAGATGGTGAAATTAATTGTGTACCTTCACTCCCTCTTAAAATTCTTCTAAAATACTGTAGAGTTTAAAATGTACAAACGCGTAAGAAAGAAGAAAATGGGAAAGAAAACAATTTAGAAACCAGAAAGCTAAGTTAGGGACTTCACCCAACTCCAGTGAGAAGGAACCAATTTACACTGCAAAGCCCCTCCCCGCAAAGGCAAAGGAAAATGGCAGCAAGGAAAGCAGGGGGAAGCTAAGGGCTGAGACCAAATAAAAAACTGGCTGAATTTTCACTAAGGAGCAACTGACTCTCCACATCCCTGCCCCCAAAGAGCTGGCTATCTAACACTGATTCCCAGTAAAAGACTAGAAATGTATTCCCAAAGAGTTCCACTCTCTGAAACTGGCTTCTGAGGGGCAACTGACAGGACTTCTCACACACCGAAGGCTGAGGTGCCCAGCTCTCCCCCCACACGCACGGCCAGCGAAGGCTGCCAGTCCACGCACTGCTGGCCGGGGACTGACTGGAAGATGACCTTTCGATGGGGAGTCTGACCAGCCCAACAAACAGAAATCAACCTGAAGAAAGCAACCACTGAGCAGGGAGAAAAACAAAAAAATACTCAGTTAAGAGAAGATACTACATCCTTAAAACAAGTGCAGAACCCTATTAAAAGAATTCAAAACATAAGAAAACAAAACACAAAACAGAAACATAAAAAAGAACTCCTGACAGTAAAAATATGAGAGTAGAAATGAAAAACTGGATAGAAGGGCTACAGGATAAAAACTGAGGAATTCTCCCTCCAACTAGTAGTGAAGACAGACATGAAAAACGTAGAGAATAGTATAAAAATCAGATACTTCAAGAGGTTCAGAAACTGAATGACAGATGTTGCACCAAGGAGAAAGCAGAAGAGAAAAAAAAATCATCCACATAATACATACTTTTAAAAGAAAATTGAAGGATAAGAGCTTCCAAATGCAAGTGCCCACTGACTTCTCACCAGAGTGAACAAATGAGATGATAACTAAAAAAGATCAACTAGTAGCAAGGTAAGCACACAATGTAGCAATAAATATTATCACAAGAATCTCTCTCTTTTAGTTTCAACCTCACCAATCATTAGAGAAATGCAAATAAAAACCACAATGAGAAACCACCTCACCCCTGTCAGAATAGAATGGCCATCATCAATAAATCAACAAACAAGTGCTGACGAGGCTGTGGAGAAAAGGGAACCCTGGTGACTGCTGGTGGGACTGCAGATTGGTGCAGACACTATGGAAATCAGTGTGGAGGTATCTCAAAAAACTGGAAATGGAACTACCTTATGACCCAGCAATTCCACTCTTGGGTATTTATCCAGAGAAACCCAAGATGCTACGTAATTCAAAAAAATATTCGCACCCCAATGTTTACTGCAGCGCTATTTACAATAGCCAAGATATGGAAACAACCGAAATGCTCACCAATAGATGACTGGATTAAGAAACTGTGATACATCTACACAATGGAGTATTACTCGGCCATAAAGAATGAAGTCTTACCATTTGCAATGATATGGATGGACCTAAAAGGATCTCTTAAAGAGTAGGAAGTTGGGGGCAGGTGGCTAGACAGCAGAAGAAGAGAGGCTCATATTTTCCTTATCAGGTCTTCTAGAATTACATATCTTTATCTATGAACTTATCAGACTTCATTTAAAAACGGTTTTAAGATGATTCTACCCAGAAGTCACACTTACCCAGTTGTAGTCATTCTT